GGGAGGGGGGGGGGCAAAATCACATGGAAAGCTTTGTAAATATAACCCTACATGGGAGAGGCAACAATTGCAAACCCCTCCCCTCTCATCAACCGTCAATGGTTCTCAACCTCCCTCAATATGTGATAACCACTTTCTCAAAATAACGTAACTCCGCTACAATTCTGCCGTTAATGAATGTAAGACCGTTTATGCCAATAAAGTAATCATCTCCCAATCAAAGAGAACCCTCCTTGAGTACGTATCTTACTCACCAATATCCAAGAAGTATTTGACTGTATTCTGTGAGCCTTTAGACACAGCAAGCGCAAAAGGTGTTAAGAGATACCCAGCCTTGTCACTGATACTTGCTCCGTGGGCGACCTGTCAGAAAGAATAAACAAATAAATAAGAAAAAGTAAAAAACTCATCATCTTTAATTACAACCGCAAGTATCGCAGTGGCGCAGCTCAACGGGGTTGAACTAAACGCATGCGATAAACACGCATGGCCAAAGGTAGTGCGCTTGTGTAATTTATGGTAAGAGCAATTAGAAGTGCCGCGCACAAAGCATGTTAACATGAACTATTAACTAGGTTCATTATCCACTGAGTTGACTTGAGAAGAATGACTATGACCAGCTGGTAGGAAACACGTATGCGCATTTTCATAACCTTGGTAGATCAATGTGCTTATAAGCCTTTACACAATATTTTCAGAATTGATTCTTCAGATAGTGAATAGTTGATTGTGAAAATATTTCGTCATTTGAGTGTCGGATCTTTAAGATTCGAAGGTTTATATTTCCAATATGTTAATGAGTATGACGTAAAACTCAACGAACTTGGCTATATTTGGGGATGCGCGATTTTTGGAGTGAATATTGTGCTAGCCATGCATCCCCTTATATTTCCTTTTTAAGAGTAAAGGGAAAAAAAGGAAATAAAAAATAGGAAAAAAATAGGGAAAAAAATAGGAAAAAAATAACACTAAAAAACAAACAGAAGGCAACACATTAAAAATGATGGTAAAAATAAAAGGATCCTTTCAAAAAAAGAAACTTCCATTAACGGCTTTAACGTTCAGGGCTGTCAATCATTTCCTTACCAACATGACCGCGATGCCTTTGTGGTCCAACTGAGCCGCAATATGGAGCGGTGTCATTCCATTCTGTCCAGCGGTGCCGACATGGCAACCGGAACACTGGAGCAAAAGCTGGAATAGAGAAATGGAAGAAAGCATAGTACACTGGTTCGACACTACTTTATGAATCGGAAACCGGAATATTTATCGGGGTTTTTCTTCTTTAAAATTGTGGCTGGCGACTTTCATTTTCGCGCATCGCACATTGCGCTTCTCTGCAGGAGGCAATCCTTAGGAAATAAAGAAACCACGTAAACCTCATATACCCTGATGTATCGCTGCGTATTCATTACTTAGAGTCATTTGTTTTGCGGTGGATCAATTTGTAGTCTGGCGTTTCTATATACATCAATAAAGTGAGCCACCGTTGGTCAACACATACAGTCAATTCAAAAAACGTTGTCGTCGACCGGGTCAAGCCTACGCGACTGGACCGAAAGGAACTCTGGGTAAAAATCACTCAAGCGGTTAAATATTCGTTCTGAATTAATTGTTCCCGCTAGTAATAAGATAATAATGGCGAGAAACAATCCATCAAATGCATGTCTTCGGGTTTAGGGAAAGAAAAACAAAGTAGTTATGATTTAGTTCACAATCCCGAAAATATGAAGGCATTAAAAAAAGTCTCCTTCAACACTTCCCGCTCGCCTACGAAGGTTCGTGCTGTAAACCAGGCATAACTAGTCAGATATACTTATGGAGTCAAGTCGGCTTCAATGATTGCTACCCAGAGTTCCTTTCGGTCCAAACGCGTAGGCTTGAGTTGGTCGACGACAACATTTTTTGAATTGACTGTATTTGAGACACCTAGTAGGGAATACCGCGGATGTGGTCTGGCTTGTAATTTCGTATTATGCGATGATTATATTTAATAACTGTAATACTTTGACTATATCTTCACTTCCTGTCCCAACAGCGATGTGTAGAGGTGTGTCGCCATGACGATCAGGTAGATTGACGTCAGCCCCTGCGAGAAGTACAACTTGTACCACGGATGGAACTCGGCTGAGAATGGCGTTGTGAAGAGGTGATTTTCCATGGTGATCAAGCTTATTTACTTCTGTACAAAAAGTTATTTAATAGGATTAAATAACTAATAGGAAAGAGAGGTTGAGAATGCTGTTGGAAGTACATGCCCTACTGTAGTAAGCAGGCGCGCCGACTGTGCTACACTTGTTAAGAGATCTCTTTAGCTTGGGTGTACGAAGGGCCTTTCCAACTTGTTTCCCGCCAATTTTAGCGAACCAAAAATAGGTCACTGATTTATGCTCTTTATCAACGCATGAAAATGTAGCTCGCGCTAAAGAAATGCACGCTGTTGGTCGAGTCTTCGACTCGTTTTTTGCCCACCTGCTTAGCTCGTGACTCGCCGAAGAAGTCGGCCTAGAGCAAATGTAATCAGAGATATCTCTATTTTGTCTACTCGTTTAGCAGGAAGAGAAAAGCAAGTGCTCATAGCTTTGTGTGTATCTTGTGTATCTATATCCTACCTGCTCCTCTTGACAGAAGTCTCTTGACTTCGTTCTCATCCCCTGATAACGCTGCCAAGTGAACTGAGTTTTGGAAGCTGAGATTTTCTAACTGGCAGAATACAATATAAACTGTATTTCAGTATATAGATCTTAGAGATACGATAGACCTTTCGGCTTACATTGGACGTAATGTTTTCCTAATTCAGACCACCGTGTCATCGAGGCCCCGTCCACACGTATCCGGAAATTTTTGTATCCGCAAATTATTATTTTTGTATCCGCAAATTATTATTTTTGTATCCGCAAATTATTATTTTGTTTGCGTCCACACGCAGCGTTTTCGAATCGTTTCCACCGTCCACACGTATCCGTTTTCGTAAAATTTGCGGATACGGATACAAAAATTTGCGGACGCAACCCGTATCCGCAAAAAAAATAAAAATTWAAAAAAAATGCGGATACAAAAATTTCCGGATACGTGTGGACGGGGCCTCAGTTGTGTCGATATTCATGTGTCTTCTCATGCGCAACCATCGAACAAAGAAATGATACTCTAGGGAATGACATGTGGTCTAAAATAGGAAAGCATTGCGCCCAAAATATAAATGAGACGAAAAAGAAAAAGGAAGAAGAAAAAACAGAGCAAGGTCAAGGACAAGGGCAAGGACAAGGACAAGGACAACATATAAAGAGATAAAAGAAAAACAATTCAATTTAAGCAAGGTGCTGCACCTGCCATACTAATTAGGAAGTACATCGTGGTCGGATAGTTATAATGACACGCATTCTGATTGGTTAATTTAAATAAGCCAATTGAAAGCAAATTTCGCCCCGGGTTTTTACGACCAGAAAGTGGACGAGGTAGGTCTAACACGAAACATTACCTCGAAAAGACGATGCAAAGTTCTATGGTAATCACTTACGTATCATTAAGTCGCTCAAGGCAACAATTAAACTGTTAAAGATCGTTAAAGACAGTAAAAATTGGTGAGAGCCGAACGCACCGCGCTTACAGACAAAATATCCTAAGGCTGTATGAGTCGTCATAGCAACGGGTTTCATGAGTTGAAATTGAATCCGAATATAAAATATATAGAAGGGTCATAATAATGATAATATATAGTGATTTATATACAGAGCTAAATCTATAAATATTGTAAAGCGCTGGTCAAATATAAACTAAGAAAGCAAATTACTACATAGTCACTAATAGTGACTAAGATTACGGCCACTAAAAATAGTTTCGAATTCGAGTTCGAGTACACCTCTTAAAGAACGGACACTTTTCTTTTAGAAAAGTAACTTAGCTCTTTATGGGTTTCCTGTGGTTTGTAGTTGCCTTTGATCGCGGTTTACGTGAGAGAAGCTTTGATCAGATCCGCGCGCTGTAAATCGATAGGCGATTAAATTCAAATTAATGACCGTCGGTGCGGACACTGATCAAATGTAGACAGCCTATAAAAATCCGCATTAACTACGTGCTACGTCCTATCACAGGTTCAACAGACTTTCAGACAACCTATGGGGGTTCTTGTTCGTTACCAGGCAACGGGAATCCCGCCGAGAAACCATCAGAAATGCCTTAAAATGTATAATTATTGCTCAGACATCATAATGACCAAAATAAATTGCTTCCGTTTTCCACCTCGTTTACCCTTCCAACTTTCATCACTGCCCCTTTAATTTATCTTGAATTTTTCTTATCTGAAACGACTTCTGGGGTAAAAAATCAGTTTGAAGTTTGTTATTCGAGATAAGGGATCCTGTGTTTGCGTTGAGGCTAACACCGCCTTCGAATTACTGCGCGCGAAATTTATCATTTCTGTTCACAAACAATTAAAATCTTTTACAACATTTCTTTATGGAAAAGCATGCTTTATTCTCTAACAAAGGCCCAGAAAATTGCCTAATGCTATAAGTTAAGTCTTAGAGCGATAACGAAGCCAAAACCCGCAAGAATAAAAACTAGTTTTATATAACAACATATGGAGGTTGTACCTAAAGAAAAGATCGTTTCAAAACATTCTTTAAACGTCCTAAAATTGGGCGTGTGTATTGTTCTGAAGGAAGCTTAAAAAGCTTAAAGCCTAACGGATGTTTCAAATTGTAGTTTTGAAGTAAATGATTATCAAAGTCTTTTCAGAGTATAATTCAACTCTGCCAAAATAAGCGACAATTTTTTTCGAAGAGAAAAAGTTTTTAGAAAATATCATAAAATGTTTACAAAATTGATACTTACCCTTGATATTCCACCAAAACTTTTCCTAATTGATACGCTCTTATACTGAACAGCCGGAATATCATCCAGTGAAGATGAACAGAAAAAAGAGTCACTGCTGTTTGTACTGTAGGTTCTCCATCTCGGGAAAGTTGGACTATCGGGGTACTCACTGGCAAAAGACACCATCTTCGAGTTTGTTTTACTCCTTGAACGTGACATCTTCTATTTTTTTGCGGGTTTGAAGAAAGACGTTTAAAAGAAAAAAAATTATTTGCAGACAAAATACACGTGTTGCGCACGTTCGATTCCCGAACAGTTTTGATTACGAATTCCGCCCCATTTAAATTACATATTTTCCTTTCTTGAATTTTTTTTCTCCGTCAATATGCTATTTTTAATCAAACTTCCTTTTCATCTGCAAGTTTGATTAAATTGAATATGTAGAAAATTAAGAGAAAAAACATGCAAAACGTTGACAAGGCAATTTGAAAATGAGAAGGTTATGACGTCCTTGAAACTACTTATTGTCAAATTTGAATATTTTGGTTTTTGAATTATTTTTCTACCCAATACGTTTACGAGTAGCTATAGCTAAACTCTTCAACTCTTAAATGAATACTCAATTTTTTACTGTAGTCGACGCTATAAAAAACTAAAAACCCCGAGACTTATCTGTAGCTTAGCTTAGAATACGTTTGATCCATGGTTATTACTGAGCACATAAAATGTTTCCTTAATTTTGCCCTTTTTAACACGTCGTGTGCTTAAGTTTGAGAAGGGAGATGAAAAATCAACATTTTAATAAGCTTTTTTAGCCGTTACAGCTGGTTGATAATTAGCCGAAGGAAACGAGAGAAGATAATACATCTAGTCTGTTCAATTTGTGAGCTATCACRTTATCTCATGTACACTCCTCTTGAAACGAAAAAAATCATTTCAGTAAAAGAAATAATACGCGCTATGGATTTGGCAAGTGTCCATTTGATGTTGCTCTTTTTTTTGTATTCTCGTTACGACCATTTCCATTGTATATTTTACAAATAACTAGCGGCCCAAACAAGCTCAAAAGTACCCAGGAAAGATCAATTACCCAAGCGTTCCCTTCCCCATTCTGGTTTTTCATATTTCTTTTCCCGAAAATTTGAATACCTGATAGAAATTAAGAAAACTTTGAATCCATGACCACAGATGAAGCTAATTTTAACCTTTTAGTGTTGCTGCTTCAGTAAAACATATAAAAATTCTTTGAAGTATTTACGGTAATGTGTTAGCTGTTCTCAACCTCTCTGTGGTGTACGAGTAACAAAGAAAAACTATTTCACGTTAAAACAGAACATTCAAGTCAGCTTTCCCAAGTTTTTTTGTTTTTTTGTTTTTTGTTCAGACGTTCTCCACAAGGAAAAACCATATCGTACTTACCTTTGGAAGAGTTATGCTTGCAAAACTGTGTCAGTAGTGAGGATTCAGTTTCAGTCGATCATGAAAAACCAAGGAAAATTGTGGGTAAATAGGCTAATTAATTATTTAATTCATAAGATGGTATTCAAAGCTGTCAAGTACTTACGTTCAAAGGAGCAATGTTATCATACTACAGTTGTTAGCAAAACAAGGACAAAAAGTGCTCAAACATTCCTTCCAAATCCTTCTCTTTTTTCTCCCAGAACCGTGCAAATATCTATCTTTTGAATTCTTAATTGAAATCATTTACTAAAAACATTGTACAGTAAGTAGAGTAAGTATTGATTCTGAGGTATTTAGGGGTTACCACTGCCTAACCATTGAATTATAAATTTCCAAAATGGTTTCGTCTTTTGTTTTTAATTTTTTTTGATTAGAAAAAAAGCGCAATTGTGTAAATAGATGAATGAGAGCATAAATAGTTCTAAGTTTATCCGCGTCAAAGCCTAAGAATCAGCCAGCCGGCAGAAAACATTTTTTTTGTAATAAAAAAATTATAAAACAACAAACAAACATATTAATAATAATAATAATAATAATAATAATAATAATAATAACTTTATTTAAGTGTCAGGACTATTTACAAAAAAGAAGATAAATAAATGAATAAATAAATAGATAATAAATACTTAATATAATACAATAATAAGATTCTAATAAAATAATAAAATACTGAAATAGTACCACCTACGACCACCACAAACCACAACAACAAAGATAAAAATCACACACAAAAGGGAATAAAACTCTACTTTTGCAAAAAAAAGAGAGATTACACTAAGCTGTGCTTCGATGAAGTAGCCATATTTTCGTCACAACAGAATTGAGAAACTATATCGTTTAAAATAATTGATCGTAAGACTTTATGATTATTTTTTTATTTGTTGATTTATTTAAAAAAATAATTTTTTTCATTCATGTTCAACAAATTCCTGGTCTGCTTGCTCTTTTCCCTGATCACTCAACTAATACCTAGTGCTTATATCATTATCTCTCATCAATAAATACCCCATGAATACGATATGTTTTATGCTCGAGGTGAATAACGTGTATTCTTTTGCAATAATTACAACGATTAATACTTCCTATGGGGTGCAGTATCCCATTTAATAAAATTTTCATTTAACAGCTGGAGTTTTTATGACAAATGTGTCGAACATTAATACTAGTTTTGGTCACCTCATTTCTCGGGAAGCCTTGATCACGAAACCCACAGCCACCGCGAATAAAGGCGCGATTACACGGAGCAATTTTCTCTGCAACTTGTGTTGCAACGCCGTTGCGACACAAGTTGCAGAGAAAATTGCTCCGTGTAGCCTACACTACAGCGCAATTTGAAAAATGCCGTTGCCAGACAAGTTGCAGCAGTCCTTGCAGCGAAAAGTAGAATTCGTAGAATAGGTTCGTCGAACGGTCTGTCAAAACGATGAAAATATAGTAAATGTAATTGAGACAAGAAAGAAAAGAAGGAAGTAAGCTAGGAAGAAAAAGAAAGAAAGAAAGAAAGAGAGAGAGA